AGCAGTGAGGGGAGGCAGGGACTCATCTTAAGGAGACAAGAACAATTTTGTAAATAATCTGTCTCAGGCCTGGTCTGAGAGAGATGGTCTTGATGAATTGCTTTCAATTTCTAATTTTTTTTTTTTGATTTCCAAGGTTATCTGAAATTGTAGTCATGGCTTTTCTTTTCATGCTAAATTCAGAGAGCGCTATTGTTGTTACTTGAAAATATACTTCTACGCATGACTTTACAGCATGTTATTTGTAGAGGGCCAGGTATGGATCTTAATTTACTGCTATCCCAAGTTGCAAGATGTCAGGGAAAGGGAAGAATCAAGTGTTACAGTTGAGATCACCACTAGCCAATCAAAATCCTTCCCCTAAAAGAGCAAGGGTGAAAGAGACAAAGATGGTTGGGCCTCATGTTGGCATTCCTCCCTGGATGATCCTTCTGGATATTGTTATTTGGTTTCTTTCTGCTTAATTGATAAACTTGTTTATTGTTTCATAACTACTGAATGCTCACAGTGTGGTCAGCTTTTAAATTTTTATGGACAAATGTTTGTATTACACACTCATTTTCGGTGCCTAGTGCTCAGATTCCAAGGATGAGACAGGGGCATTTATGTAATTTTGTATTTTTGAGGATGGCTGCTTTAACATACAGTCATCCCAGGACACTGAATATCTGATGAGCGTACAATGAAGAATTTGTTTTGTTGTTGCCTGGTGGAACTAATTAAACACAGGGATGGACAAACAAGTCAAACCAGTATGCTCCTCTAATTCATCCATCCAAGAAATCTCAAGAGAATAAGATCTGTCTCAATTGATATCTTCATTGCTATAAATCGCTCTGGCTTTTCTAGTTCTAGGTAAATAACAATCTACAAAAAAAAAAAGTAATAATATTCTTTAAAAGTATATTATTCCCAGTCTAATGACTCAGAATTGGTTTATATTCTTTTGGGGAACAAATTCATACTATCATATCTAAAATTTACAAGAACTTAGTATAAAGTGAGTCCATTCCATGGGTATAACAATGAGATGTGGAGATAACATGCCTTTGGAGGATCAGCCTATGTAAGTCAAGATGGTGCAGGTACCTGTGTATTCCTTTTCACGTGGGAGGGGAAACCGGCACTGGTGTAAAGATAGGAGGCTATATAGGTAGCTCCTTCATTTTGGGAGGATTGGGTGGGTGAAAACCATGCCATAAATTGGGAAGATCAAGGTTTCAATGGGATCATGTCGAGGTCTTGAGGGTAGAAGGTGAGACTATACTTAAGAAGACGTGAAGTGAAATTCCTTCTAACTGACCTGCCTTAAGCCCTTTGTTAACTTCTCCATTTTCTCATCTGTAAAATGAGAATAATAGGAATTTTCCATGTGGAGTGATCGTAAGAAATAAATGAATTCATAAAGCATTTAGAATACCACCTGGCTCATAATAAGCCAGTTAATAGTAATAAGTGTTAGCCGCCATCATCATTATCACGAGTGCTGCCATTGTCACCGTCATCATCATCATCATCATCAATCTCTATCTCACATGTAGTCTCCTGGGCATGAGAATAAACTGAGTTTTCATTAATACGATTCCATTAACTCATACCCCAACAAACTGAGGGAGTTCAGATGGCCTGAAGTCTATAAAGATATCCAATAACTGACTTTTATAATTATCCACTAATTTTCCTTCATACTTTTCTCAACACTATTTCTGGAAAAAGGTGTTATGGGTTGAATTGTGTCCCCTGGAAAGATACCATTGAAGTCCAAACCATCTAGATCTCAGAATGTGATCTTATTTGGAAATAAATACACTTGTTGCAGACATAATTAGTACAAATGACATGACACTGAACTGTGTGCGTGGGAGGGGGGTCCTAATCCAATATAACAGTGTATTTATAAAGTGGAGGAAATTTGGACACAGGAATTCACAGAGGGAAAATGATATGAAGATACACAGAGAAGTCAGCTTCTTGATGGTGGGGATTGCAGAGATGAATGTCCAGGCCAAGGAATGACAAGAATGGCTGGAAAATACCAGAAATAAAAGAGACATGGAAGGATTCTCTCCCCCTGGTTTCAGAGGGAACATGGCCCTTCCTCTATCTTGATTTCAGACTTCAGCTTTCAGAACTGTCAGACAATAAATTTCTGTTATTGTGAGACACCCAATTTCTGGTTCTTTGTTACAGAAGCCATAAGAAATAATACAGAATGGGATGGAAAAACACCACTGGAGGGATAACATAGTGTCAGGACTTAACTCACCAGATCACTGGAAGCTAGGATGGGGTTCAAAGGCTGAGAAGCTGTCACTTCATGTTTCTTCTGTTTTGACAAAATCCTGTTAATCTTATTTTTTTTCTCTCATTTTACTCTAAGATCCGCTTTAATTTCTGAAATCTATTAGTGTATGTCCTTTTATTTTTAAAAAATAATTTCAGAGTATCATAATTATATTTAGTATTTGGGTTCATTTTGACAAAATAATACATTTAAGGATTTTGATTTCAATCCCTATACACCCTCCCCTTTCCCTTCCCTCCTCCCTTCACCCTGTTATTTCTTCTTTCTTTTATTGATCTTCCTTTCACTCCTTATATATAACTTTTGTTTGGATATATATATATATATATATATATATATATCATGTACATATATTACATATATATTACACACACACACTTGTACAGGTGAAATTCTTTTTTACATTTATATATGTATGTAACAAGCTATTTTTGCTTCATTTCATATTTATACCCCCCTTCCCTTCCTCCCTGCCTCCTTCTCTCCTGTTCTTAACTTCACTAATCTATCTTACATCCTTATGATATCCAATCTCCTTTCTTGCGACCTTCTTTCTCTATTTTGCTCTAACTTCCACATATGAGAGAATTCATTTAGCTCTTGATTTTCTGAGTCTGGCTTATTTCACTTAGCATGACTTTCTCCATTTCCATGCATTTACCAGCAAATGCCATTATTTAATTTTTCTTTGTGTAAAACTCCAGTGTGTGTGTGTGTGTGCGTGTGTGTGTGTGTGTGTGTGTGTGTGTGTCTCACAATTTTTTGATCCATTCATCTGTTGGTGGGTATCTGGGTTGATTCCATCATAGCTAAATTAAGATTTGCTTTTTTCGGGACGATTTCCTAACTATCACAAGAGTGGTAACCTTATGAACATACACTCTTTCTACACATTTGAAAAAATCTTCCCAGATTTTGTGTTATTGTTCATCCATTCACTCCTTCATTCATGTCTTCTTGAATCGGGGCCGAGTGACAAAGCAACAGGCAACCTGTTCAGATTGCGTGGAGCCACAGTCATCCCTTTCCTGGTGCCTTTCAGAGGGGAGGAAAAGTGCCTGGTCTTTGTGCTGATTTCTCCACCAAGAGTTCTCCCTTTTCTCCCTCATCAAACATCAATAAACCATTTGATTATTTTCAGAGCACTAGAAGCCTCTCTTTGTGCTGCAGGGTTCAACTAGATTCCCTCACATATTATACCACTTAAATTTTCCTATTTCCAAAAACTGCTATTGGGCACATTTCATTTGCCAGAGCTAGTGTAATCTTTCCACAGTGATGCACTCAGATCCAGGGTGTTCAGGACAAGATTTATTTGTTTTCAAATACTTTTTTTTTCCCCCTGATGACCTAAAATATCCTTCCAGAATTACCAAGTCCTATTTTTATTTTGTACAAATGATCATATAGTCAAATTTAAAATGTCACAGATATATAACCTGTAATAAAAGAAAGATGCAGAGTTTGTGAAATTAACCCATTAGTTAATATTCTCTGGACTCTAGTTTACCACCCCTCAACTTCCATAGGATGATACGGTTTTGTTCAAGTCAGCAGTCCATTGTTTTTGGAGGTTTCCATGACCATTTCCCAAAACACTTTCTGCAGACAATCTGTAGAGAGCCCTACATTTTCCACAGAAGAAATGAGTGATCACTTACCCTCCTGATTCCATTGTGCTTGTTAGTAATGTATATGAAACACATAACTTTAAAAACACATAGCATGCTTTTGCAGAGGTCTCCAACAAGGGCATGAACAGGGGCACATGCCTATGTATCAAAAGGATCCTGCTTTGTATGTTTTTTAAAGGAGCTGTTGGAGTAGCTTTAGTTCCTTCTGCTCCTTGATTAAATCTTGATTAAAATCAGTACAGTAGTTGTAGAACGGGAAGCAGTCCTCTCCTTACTTGCCCTGCTGTAGGTTACATCACTTGATTGCTTGAGACAGCTAAAGGTGCTTTGGTAGTAAAAGGAGAGCAAGATTAATGGGCAGTCATTTCCATAGTAACAGCAAAGCACTCTGGGAAACAGAGCCACTTGGGAGCTGGAGTTACACATGCCAGGATTTTGGCTCCCATGGCAACAGCAGAGTGTGGGGTGGGGATGAGCACGCTAGGAAACTTAGCAAAGGTCTGCTTAGTGAAGACAATGTATAATCAGAGTTGTCAATCTATTTTAAAATCTGAAGTTAAAATAAATCAAATTTGAGACCACAAGCTGATGCGAAACATTTAAAACGCACTGTACATCCACTGAAAATTTCTGAAGCATAAGCACAAATAGTTTAAGAACTATCCAATTGTGACAACTTGTTAGTTTAAAAAAATCCAATTACCCAAATTTTTGTCCCAGAGTAGTTGCAGAAAATTACACAATTAGAGCAATTTTTCTCAGCTGCTTCACTATAGAAAACGAAAGTAATTATACAAAAATAGGGTAAAATACTTCCACAACTGCAAGTTAGAGTTTTGCTTTCCTTAGAAGAAATTCTGTTTTCCTTTTAGATAATCATCTCAACGAAAAGCTGAAGAGAGCCAGCAGTAAAAGGAGAAAGCAATAGCTAAAAGAAGAATAGAGAACAAAGCAAAAGGTGAGTGAAATACTTAATGACTCACGAGAGGCTGAAAAGAATTCAGAAGGGCCTAAGAATGCAGTATCCCAATTACAATGAGTAAAAGAAATCTGACACAAAATCGTATTCCTCTTGCTTTTATTAACATTGGAGTTAAAGCTTTTGAAGGTCTCCTTTGTCCTGCATAATGTTATAGTGCATTCAAGGAGACCAACATCCACTTAGGAATAGACATTCTCTTCTATTCATCCCTTCTGGGTCAGGTCTACATAGATGGTGGAACAGAATTTTGGAAATTACCTGTTGAATTAAGAATAGGTTCATTGCTAATCAAGTTATTAACTCATTAAGCCCCAAGTTTTCAATTCTGACAATGTGATCAATGTTCAAATATTATTTCAAAGTGACTATAAATGGTATGTTTATTGCTCAGTGTAAGTTTTTGTAGGTTTTCCATTTCTCAGGTGATGGAACAAAATAAATTAAGGCAAGTCTGCATGTTTCTATCCACAATGCACTAAGAAGTTATTACTGGAAGAATTGACTGAGATTATATTGAGTGTGCACTATGAATTTGGAAAAAAAATTTTTAGTGATTCAATCCTGTCCTTCCCTGGTTGTCTATTCTCTATTGACATTTTGTGCCTGGTGGGATCTGCTGAGATGTCATTTAGGCATGTGAAAGATCTGGCAGTAGTATCTCAGAGAAGAGCAAATCTTATTTGTTAAGTACCATTACAACATCTATATCCCTAGGTCTTAAAAAGAAGGATTACCGTAAGGACCATCTATGGGAATGCCCATAGGCACCAGCACCTATAATCTATGAGTTGTTCTTCTCCTTTGCCATCTGCACTGTTAGTGATATTTTGCTGGGACCCTGATTCACGGTCTATCGTGGGTTGATCTATGAATTGGTGCCTAAGTTAGGTTGGTTAGTCAGTCACTATGCAGGATTTTGAAATTTGGGACTCAGTGAGCTTCAGTCTGTCACCTGACTAAAGCTATAAATTGTAAAAGTTTGAAGTTATTAGTAATCATTTTTTTCCCATATGAATAAGGCTTCAAGAGAAAAGAAAGAGATACCAGAGAAAGGCAGAGACAGGAGATAGAGGCTTGGCTTAGATGATGGTCAGCACCTTCTCTAGTTGTTCCTGATGCCCAGCAGAATCTGAATTTCTTATGGCTTGACTGTCCTCTCAATAGATTCTTTCTTCTGTTTTTTTTTTTTTTCTCAAGTTTGCTCAAGTTGGGTGTCTACCTCTTGCCACCAAGAGTCCCAATTAATGTAACAGCCTCTTCTCAAATCCACTAAAACACATGATAAAGGGAAGAAAGTAAAACAATAACCTAGACAGAAAACACATTGTAGGAAATAAAGCAGGGAGACAAAAAGTAATTGCATAGTTTTGCTTTTCTTGCAGTTTGGTGATTTGTGAGAAAGGCAATAGGGCTTAGAAGTCACTACAATCAGCAACTCATCATAGGAAACAAGACCAACTTGAGTAAAAATACAGCAAAATCAGAAAGTGGCATCTTTTCTAACAACCTGTAGAAGGTGGCAAGAATCTAAGCTGAAATCCTCATTTAGACCATGTTACGGTTTGGATCTGAGATGCCTGTCTGCTGCCTGGCTGTTATGAGGTGAGCAGCTTTCCTCCACCAGATACCGCCTGCTATGATGTCCTGCCTCATCATAGGAAACCTCTGAAACTGTGAGTCAAAATAGATGTTTTCTCCTTTTAAGTTGTTTTTCTCATGTATTTGGTCACAGTGACAGAAACCTCATTAACACAGAAAAGAGGTATTGAAAAGTGGGGTATTGCTGACTATGCCTGACCATAAGCTTTGGAAGTGGTTTTCAAGGGGAGTTTGGAAACATTTGGAGAAAAAGACTAAAGAAATTTGGGATATTTTAAATGGAGCTTAGGGGATGATCCTGGTGGGAGATCAGAATGCTGATAGGACAGTAAATTCTGTGTTGATGAAGTTTCGGGTGGAAACGAGGACTCTATTAAAAATTGTACCAGAGGCCATTTGCTGCATAATGGCAAAGAAATGGTCTACCTTTTTTCCATACCCCGAGACTTGGTTTGTGTGAGGGTGAGTTTAAAGGTAATAGATCAATAAATCTGTCAGGAATTTTCAAGGCAAGACAGGATTCAGTTAGTGGTATGGGTATTACTGGATGCTTTTAGGCAGATTTACAGTGAGAACTGGCAGTGAAAAGCAGAGTAGAAAGATTTGGAAAAACTTTCAGTTTTTGCCCAGAACATACACATTTAAAGTTGTGACAAAGGAGGGTTGCTAAAGAGACTAGTGTCATTAAAAAGAAGACAAGTACTTTGTCTGGGACAATAGGGAGGATGCCTTGAGGAAGCAGGAAAAACTCTCTCATTGCAGGGTCGTGAACATAAAAATATAAAACTCATTTGAAAAATGTTGCTGTAAGAAGGAAGTCTGGGATGTCCTACTTGCACAGGGCTGCCTAAGGAATTATTTTTTCTGTGATTTTGCTTCCCTGTGTTCAGCTATCCAACCACTCAGAGGCCACTGCAGCTGTGGTTCAAGGGAGCCCAGCTATTGTTCTTGCTGATGGCAAACCTTGGTGCTGTTCACATGGCGCTAGTTTTGCAGACATGCAGAATGCAAGCATTCTGAGGTCATGGAGACTTCCACTGAGATTTCAAAGGAAAGGCTGCGAAGCCAGGCAGTACGAAGTAAAATCAGAGTCCCTGTGAGCAGCGCCTGACAGGGCAATGCAAGAAGCTGCGAGAGTGAAGCCAAAGCTGCAGTGGAGACCCTGGGAAGCTAGAGATGCCAGGGACATGAAACCACAGGCAGTGAGCAGCACCTGCCCAAGAACGGGGGCATGTGGGCTGCAGCTAGCAAAGCCATGGAGGTGGGACTCGCCAAGCTCTTTGAACCTTGAATTATGCCACTGTCTGCCCCAGATGCCAATCATAAAGCTAGAGGATTTAATGTTTAGCCATGCTGAATTTCAGTCTTGCTTTGGTCTAAGTCCTCCTTGCTATTTTCCTATGTGTCCCTTTTGGAATATGAATGTTTACCCTGTGCTATTGCATCCTGGAAGTATGTAGCTTTCCTTTAGATTTTACAAGGGCTCATAACTAAGAGATTGCCTTGAGTCTCAGAGGAAACTTTGGGCTTAGCCTTTAGAACAATGCTGGAAGTGTTAAGACTCTGGACATGAGCCTTTGAGGGTCAGGAGTGGAATGTTATGATTTGGATCTGAAATGTTCTCCAAAAGCTTGTGGTTCCCAGCGCATGATTTTTCAGAGGTGAGGTCTTTGGAAGGTGATCTGATCATGAGAACTTTGACCTCATCAATGGATTATTCCATTTTTGAACTCAGCTGATTGGGCTCTTGGGAGGTAGTAGAAACTTAGAGGTGGGGCTTAGTTGAAGGAACTGAGTAATTGAGGGCATGTTCCTTAAGGAAATATTGCAACCCTGACCCTTTCTGTCCCTCTGCTCCCTTGGCTACATGAGATGAACAGCTTTCCTCCACCATGTGCTTCTCACCATGAAGCTCTGCCTCACTATAGGCCAAAAAGCAACGGAGCCAGCTAACCATGGATTAGAACATCTGAAACTGTGAGACAACATAAATCTTTCTTCCTTTCAATCCCCCCACCCTACCCCAGGTATTTCGTCACAGTGACAGAGAGCTGACTAGTATAGGCTATGGTTCTTTCAGATTGCAAGGAACATTGACATACTCAGGAAACTAGTCTAACATCCAGATTATAAGGGTTTTTAAAAGAGAGAGCAGAGGAAACAGGAGGAAAGCTAATTCAAGATGATTTCCCTCGACCAAAGGACTTTGTTTCCAGACTGCATGGGCTCACTAAGTGCCTGGCACAACAGGTGAAAATGGATCTTCTTCAAGACATATTGCTGGGTATTTCAGAACATTGAGGACAAGGAGAAAACCTTAAATATCTCCTTAGAGAAGGAAAAGAGACAGGTCATATACAAAGTAGCAGGAATCAGAATTGCTTCTGATGTGTCAATAGCAACCCTGGTGGGATAATGCCTTCAAAATCATTTCCCATCTAGAAGTCTATATCCAAAGCAACTGCCAATTAAATAGAAGTGTAGAATAAATACATTTCAAACATGTAAGATCTCCATGTCATTTTCCTGCATATTTTCTAAGGAAACCATTTAGGAAGTTGTCTTGCTAAAAGAAAATAAAACCCAGAAAGAGGAATACATGGGGAAAGATAATCAGAACACAAAGGGATCTGGAGGACTAGGGGGGGATCCAAGGATGACAACTGTGACTAGGTTTAGAGGTTCACTAGTCCACACTGAAGCAGGTTCAAAAATCTGTTCCCTTGGTTCCATGTCAATAACTTCACTTCTCCCAGTGACAAAAGGTAAGTCTAGTGAGAGTCAGGGGAGCTGTATTATTATCTGTTGCTGTCTAAAATTATGTCACAGACATTTGCCTTGGAACAATATGCACCTGTTGTCTGAGAGTTTCCATGGGCCAGGAGTCTGGACACAAGTAAGCTGGATCCTCCTCTCAGGGTCCAGGCTACAAACCACTTCTCAGCCATGGCTGAGTTCTCCAGCCAAGAGTGTCATGTGGTTGTTGGCATATTTTGCTTCCTTGTAGTTATTGTACTAAGGTCCTGTTTTCTTGGTGTCTCTCTGGACCACTCTTTGCTCCCAGAGACACCCACAGTTCACGTAGCCCTCTTACAACTTGGCAGCTTCAGCCTGCCTTCCTTTTTTTTTTTTTTTTTTTTTTTTTTGATACTGGGGATTGAATCCACGGGTATTTAACTTCTGAGCCACATTCCCACCCATTTTTAATTTTTTTTAAATTTTATTTTACAGACATAGTCTCATTGAGTTGCTAAGTGCCTCAGTAAGGCACTTACTGAGGCTGGCTTTGAACTCTTGATCCTCCTGCCTCAGCCTCCCACGTGGCTGGGATTCCAGGCCCCAGTGGCAGTTCTTTCTTTAAGACCTGCAGAAGAACCCCTCTCTCTCAGACTGCTCAGGTGGAGTCTTAGGTAATGTAGCCTAGTCAAGGGAGTGACTAGTGACCCTCAGCCTCTGTTATATTCTATCTGCAGAAATAAATCACAGGCTCTGTCTGCCCTCAAGGAGAGAGAGGTTTATACAAGAGCATGACTCATGAGGGGGGAACCTTAGGGTATTCTACCACAGAAACTATTAATTTGGCTGATTAAATACATAATGATGGTGGTATATTGTTGAGAGCCACAGCAAACTTCTAGCTGCCGGCTGATGATTGGCTCACAGCGGCCCCAGCAACATCTAGCTGATTGGCTCCTCTGTGGTGATGCTCGTTGGGCTGTTTCCCTGCCCTTTCAGACCACGGAGCTGCTCATTGGGGGACTTCTTTGGCTCCGCCCATGCGACCCAGCCAATCGGCCTCAAGAGCAGGAGGATTGTGGGAGGTGGAGAGGCTTGGGTGGGGGTGAGAGGCTTGTGGGAAGCCGTTGGTTGCAGTTGGGCTCTGAGGGTTTTTTCCTGAGGAGCTGTTTTGTTTGGCGTTTGTAGTTCTAAAAATAAAGTTAGTTTCTTTTGACAAGTGGCTCCTGAATTGTGCCCAGCCAGACTGCGGCAGTATATGACTAAGATTGAGTGATAAGGCAATAAAGAAGTATTTTCTCACATAGTCACGCTGATGTTTGATGGTCTTCTAATCAACACATTGGCAAAAGCTTTCAGATGGCTACAGTGAAGCAATAAAAACCTTCCTAAATATGAGAAATTACCACATATATGCATATGCTTTTTCACTGAATATTATATTTGTGAGAATCACTATGTTGTTGGGTATAGTGGCAACGTATCCTTTTATATTCCTATATAGTATTCTGATGCATGGAAATACCGCATTTATCTATTCATTCTACCACTAATATAAGTTTAGTTTGTTTCTAGTTTCTGGTTTTTATGAATGTTGATGCTCCAAACACCTCTGTGAATGTGCTGTAGTTCACCTATACAATTTCTTAATCTTATATTAAAGTATTTACAAAAAACTACAATAAATACTGTGTTTAATGGTGAAATATTGAAGCATTTCCTTTGAAATAAGGATGAAATAAGAATCTATATCATCACTTCTTTTCAACATTTTACTAGAGATTCTAGGCAATAAAAAAATGCCTATGAAAATGTATAAACTATAAGAACTAGAGAAAGAAAAATAAAATTGTTGTTATTTGAAGACTAAATATTTTTTATATTGAACATTTTAAGATATAGGTAAGCTATTGTAATTAGTAAGTGAATTTATG